TTTTTTTAAACTATAGTTTTCGCGCAGCTGGCCCTTCTACACAGATAGTCAGCCGGATCTTCTATGATGCAGCAGAAAAAGATTGTATATCGTATATGGAGGGCTTGTATTTTCTGACTTCACCATTTGGGCCTTTTTGTGCACAATGGCCTACTAACATGTTTGCAAGCTTTGGAAGAACACAGATTTGCTTACCAAGTCTTACAAATTTACCGCACGGTACGGACTTGACGTTAGAGTTAGAAGTGAATATATGTTCCGACTACCGCAACGACAGGCATAATAAATTACACGACAAGATGTGTGGCATATTACAGTTTTAAGATGAAGTTTGTTTATTCAAATTACAGCATGCAAATTTATTTTCTGACTTTATAAAATGTAAGAAATATATTTGGAAATCCATTTCTGTGAATAATGTAGGAAAAGCGGCTGCATAGGAACCAACGTGACCTATCACGGCAGCCGCGGCCAATAAATCACTAGCATCGGAGGAGGTATGTTTTAGGCTTATGGATTTTTCGCCAGACCGCTCACAAGGTCGCCTCACGTTCGGCTCGGGATGTGAGCCTATATCTCTCACATCTTAACCTTACATACGCTTTTAGTCGCTTCTCTTTGTAATAGATATATTCCTCCTTTGCAGTATCTTGTATTTTGGTGGCCACAGAATCGCGACATTTAAAGCGAGGTGCCTGCAGTTTAAATGGGTGAAATAGGAGCCATAACCACCTCTTCTTTATCAACTCAGCACGTCTTCGTATTAAATGAAAGTTCCGAATCAGGTTGTCATCAGAGACAACCAGGCAAAAGAACACTTGACGCCAAATTTTCTCCAACATATTTTAATTTTTGATGCGCCTGTAAATCCACATCTTCTTTTGCGCACAACTATAATTTGAGAAAAGTGACTAAAGTCAAACTTCAACGCTTACTCTTTGACGTGAGAAAAGCCCTGCAGGCAGCAATACCCTCGCACCACGATATTAACCGTACAAGTGTTTGCTCAAAAATGACGTAATTCATATTCCAAGGAGGATAGATATATTCCAAGGTTCCTT